TGAGTCCCCTCAGGGAAAAGGGCGGCCTATAAATAAATAAATCTACAAATCTACATCTACATATTTTGCACACAGATAGCATTAAGCCCACGATAATCCACTCATAATCTAAGCCGGTCATCTTTTTTTCTCTTGGAGCAGCATGGGTGTGCCCATGCATGACTGTGTTGGCTGAATAAAACCCCTGGCCAAATTTTTGTCGATAAAATATTGCATTCTTCCAGTTCCCAGGGCATCATCAAGTATAGTTTGGATTTTGGCATCTTGGCCATAGGGACGATCTTGATAGCAAAGTCCATGAGGCAATGGGGGGGGGGGGGGAGCATATCAGACTCTCTTTCTCTGAACACTTCAGCTAGGTCCCAATATTCCTTGGGGATTGATGGATCCAGCTCCCCCCCCCATGCTTTCCCTGTGCCACCTTCTTTCACTTTTAATCTAATCAACAACTTGTGGCAGCTCCTTATCACTTTTATTACGGCTTCCTGGTTGGAAACTTTCCTCCATAGCTTCAGCTGGTTTCGCTCCCAGTCTATGGAGGGATTCCACTTCTTGACCCATTTAAGCCTCAGGACCATGGCTTCAATCATCCCCTGAGCCATAATGAATTGGATGGTCTCTGCATGGGTTCCTATGTTCAGCTCCACCAGTTCAATTAGAAATGTGGCTGGAGCACCCCCATCACACTGTTATGTCCTGCTGAGAAAGGGGTTTTTCAGTTCCCTCAATCGCACCCCCAATTTTCCCACTACATCAAGGCTAACAAGGCTTCTGGTGCACCCAGAGTCTAGTAAGCCACCCTCCCTCATTACACAAATACACGTCATCTGATATGCTTATATCCACTAAGTATTCAAATTTATACAGCTTGGAGGTGGAAAATAGGCACAAAAATTATGGTCAAAATATTCACTTGCCTAATAATTGTACACACAGTGTATATCTCTGGTTTGTGAACTTATGGATGTTCTTTCTTGGGAGATACCCCTCAAGGTTTAAAATACCATCTGGAACCAAGGTGGCATCTGGATGTATCTTTCTCTGGGGGGGGGGGTAGGTATGTTTCTCTTGGCCTGTCAGTCAAGAGCTGATGTGGAGCTCTCTGTATCTTCTCTTACGCAATGTGAATGACAGCCATATTATTAGCACTCTGTGTGTGTCATGTCTTATTTGAAAAGTCGGATGAATCAGCTGAATCCACTGCTGTAATTTAGATGACCATGCATCAGGTGGCACAACGTGTATTATGTGTATTTGTATTGCCTACATAAGGATACAAATGCTGCTTTGAAGCTCCTCTGTTCTCAGAGGTGGCAGTGCGTATTTCATGTTTTCATAGATCTTTGTTTAGTTAGGAGATGTATTAATTGACTTCCTTCTCTCTTTTCATGCATTTATTGTGTATCACAGTTAATTTTATTATATTCAAAATCAACTTCTCTGGCTGAAAGTAACTGCCTTACTTTCTTCAGAGAAGGACCAAATTTTGTTGCCTTTGCCTTCTTCTTCAATCCTCAGTAAACTGAATAATATCAAAGGAAGTGTCAGCCTCTACTTTGCTTGCTTGCTGTCCCCATAGTAATGGGGAGGGTGTGGGTTTGTGGTATTTGGGAGGGAAATTGCTGGTGCTGGAGGAGTATCATAAAGGGAGTTTTGGTCTCACCATCTTCTGCGTACGCTGATGGCTTGTGTTTAGGTTTGATCAAGGTCAACCGTGTCTGCATACCAACGGAATGAGGCCACTTGAAGATGAACCCCACACGACACCTTTGGGAGTTGCAGATTGGACATTGGGTTGGGATCATTAGGGGGAGGGTCCTGGGTAATCGTTTGATATGTACACATTTGCGCCTTTTTGTCTCAGACCTTGCTTTTCTTTAGCTGCTTTCATTTTATGTCTAGTAAAAGCAGTTTTATCTCTACTCAAATGGAGGGGGAGGTTTTCTTTCTTGGATAATGAACGAGGCATGCCTGACCAGGAAGCCTTTCCATTCCCTAACAGCATATTTAGAAATCTACCCTTTAGCCAAGAACATTAACCTTGCTTCTCAAGGCCATCTGAAAACTAGAGCTCAGGAGTTCCCTTAATGCATGTTATCAAACAGGCAAAGCATACTAAAATGAATTGTAGCAAAATATATTTTAAAAGTGTCTGAAATTGGTTAACTATTATATCCCCAAGCACTTTTTGTTTTTAAAAAAGAGGTTGGGGCAGGGTTTTTTTTTAAAAAAGATGATTTTAGTATTTACCTCCAACAATGTGATTAAAATAACTCCTTCTGTTATTTATTAACAGAAGGATAGACGAGGAAGTTAGGACCATTCAATTGCAGAGTGGTTTTCCTCAAATTTGTTTTTATCATCCTCTATAACATTTAATCTCAGCAACTAACACTTCAACATCATCTGTCACTGGATCATTCTGTTATTTAGCCTTCAGAAGAAAGAGGGTTGAATGGTTTCCTTTTATTATAATATGATTAATTCTAAATTTAAGATATTTCTTAGTGCAAACAGCAGAACAGCAAATTTAAACATTTAAAAATCTTTGGTCATAAAGTCTTTAGAGCAGAACTAAGTATTATTTTTCATTAATATGCAACACATTGCATTTCCTTTATACATAATATTTCTCTTTCATTATAGTAATGAGTATGCCCACTGTAGCGGTAATAGAATTCACTGGTTATCGGAATGGAAGGAGGAAGGCCCTGTTGCAATTCTGAGTTGTGTATAAAGCCATAGCCATAAAAAGAGATTGTGAAGAAATTCAAATAGAACTAGGTTTGCCTTGATAAGTTAGTGACAGAGTGTTTAGGGAAATCATTTTCAGAGTTATATACTGCTCTGCTTTGCAGCACTCCCTGAGCATTTTACAAATGTCAGCATATTGCCTCCCCTCCCCACCAAACCCGGGTCCTTATTTGGAAGGCTGAATCTACCTTGAGCTATTCAGGATCGAACTCCAGGTTGTGGGCAGAGTTAGCCTCCAATATTTCATTCTAACCACTGTGCATCAGGGCTCCCTTAATGTTAGTTAAGAGAAATTTCTGTAAATAAGCATTCCTTTTTCTTTTATGCAAATCTTTTATCTTGTGGATCTAAAATTGCTGATTCTTATTGCTAAATTTCTTAATCTTTATATCCTCTTTTTTCTGATTTTACTATCTTTATCTTCTGCTTCTTCGTTAAATACTTAGGCATTAGAAAGGCAGAAAGTTTTCTTTGATTCCCTAAGAAGTGAGCGAGATGATCTTAGAGAGGAGGTGATTTTGCTGAAGGAACAATTAAAGGTATGATGAAGCAAACGAACACAAGCAAAAAATATAAAGTATAAAAGGTAGTGATATTAAATAATAGCATTTTATTTCAGTGTACCAAAAAGAATCTTCCTTGGGTGTTCCATTATTTGATAAACTTAAACTAGGAGTAACACATCATTGTGATCTTAACTAATTGTATTCTCTCATTATGCTGCTCTTGAAGTGCATTTACCTACATTTGGAAATTAGGAAGAATTAATATTAGCATATATGTAAAAATTTCAAGCTCCTGGAGTGGGACTGCTGACCATGCCACTTCTATAGTCTGAAGCTGTATCATGAATTGTTTTCACTTGGGATAGTGGCATAATCTGTGAAGATCACCTCCTGCTGCTGCAAAAGTTTTAGTACTGTTATCTAGTTATTATATTCATACTAGCGTCATACTCTGCATTCATGTGATTTTATTGTGCAGGATTTCAGTTTTTCAAACATACTTTACATGGAACTGAATGTTATAAATATATTTTGTTTTGCATTCACAGCAATCTGGAACAATCACCAATTTAGGAATGGCTACCAATGGAGAAATCTCTGATTGTGTTGCTGCTAAGGATGGACTATCAAATTCTTCCAAGGTTGTTTCAGAGCCAAGTCAGGTCTTTAAAGTATCTGAGGATTGTACAGAAGGTAAGCATTTGCATTGTATTAAGATACTATATATGATCATTTTTTGCTTGAAAATGTTTATAATCTAACAATAATATTCTGCATGGTCTACATATGTTAACTTTTCCTTAATACAACAATCACTTAAGGCCATTATTTTTATAGTGTGAGGTTTTTTGGTGAGAAGAGATTAATTGGGTGTTATTTAATTCCCAATTTCAGGAAACCCAAATAATTTAAAGTTATATTACCAATGTACTTATTGTAAATTTTATTTAAATATATTAAGTACAATACATTGTATATATATATATTTTATAGACATTAACTTTGCTATGGTTCCCAGCAGTGTATATGAAAAGCACTTGAAAATATTAAGTTTTAGGTAATTACAGATGGTGCTTAACTTATGACAACAATTGGGACCTAAACTTTCCTCAGTAAGCAATGTGGTCATTAAGTGGTCATTAAGTGAATTCCCCCCCCCAACCTTTTTTGCCATGGTTAAGCAAATCCGGTTTACCCCATTGATTTTGTTTGTCATAAATATTAGCCAGCTGGGAAGATTGCAAATGGTAATCACACGATCTTGGATGCTGCAACTATTGTAAATGCTGGTTGCTAATTAACTGAATTGCAATCATGGTCCATAGAGACAGACTGGGATGGTAATGTCAGGACTAGTCATAAGTAATTTTTTTCAGCACCATCATAACTTTTTAACCGTTGCTAAAAAAATGGTCATAAGTTGAGGCCTGCCTGTAAAATGAATTGCGTTGCTATTCATAATAGTTATTTGTAAGTTATTAATTACAGTAAGATTTATCCCAGCCATATTCAACTAACATATCATAGCTAACAAAACTTTGTGTATTTAAATTATTGGCTCTATTAAAAAAAGTTAAAAACAAGGAATTTTAATTTGTACAATTCACAAAGTAATACAAATTCAATATAATTGAGTTACATTCTTCCTTTGCCTTCCTATAATTTACAAAAGTGGATACTTTTTGACATGTTACTAATACTCTTGGGGTTTTAAATGGAAAGGTAAGTGATAGCATACTTAAATGATGTATCTGTATTGTGGTCCCTTGAACTTTCTTATAATGATCTTTTAGGCAGAGAAAATGAAGTGGAGATGGAAAATGAGATTTTGGAGAATATGGGGAAAAAGGAAATCTTGCAGAATTCTGAGCATGAGGAAAACACAGAGGACACTAAGGATCAGGAAATCATTCTCAAATGTTTGGAAATAAAGACATTGCCTGCTGATGAAAATGTAGAGACTAAGAAAATCACTGAAGCCAAAATTACATCAACACTGAAATCAAATAGTGGACTTGATCCTGTAAAAAGTTACTCAGAATGTACCAAAGAAATTGTTTCACTTGAAAAAAGCTATTCAGGTGAATTAAAAGTTGAAGGGGCTTCACCAAGTCATATTTTAGAAGAGAAAGTGTCTGATGGAAATATAAATGTAACTCATAATCAAAATTATACGGCAGATCCAAGTATTGAGATCAATCAAGAAATACATGCCAATTTAGAAATAGTTTCACAACAGGAAAATAAAAAAAAACAAATAGATATTGTAGTTGATGAGTCAGAAGGGAATAGTGAAGTATTTTGGGAAGCTTTAGATTTTATAAATAATAGCCACATGGCAATTTCTACTTCACCAGAATTGGAAGATGCTATCCTTATGAAAGCCTCCACTATTGATCTTAATAGTGAACAATCAAAAAACGGAGTTGTTGAGGGAGATTTAAACAGAGAATTTCTTAAAAATGAACAAAATTCTTCCATAAATGCTGTAACAAAAGGGCCAAAAATAGAAATGTGTGAAACGAATGAAGAGAACGAGGCACAAAGTATGATAGTGCAGCAGGAGGACCAAAGAGTAGATTTTGCAGAAGAAGAAGAAGAAAAAACATTGTGTCCTACAAAAGTTACTTTGAATGAGTTTGGAGAGGAACAAGAACAAGTTAAAATTGAAGAAATCCAGTCCCTACCTTCAGAACACGATGCAGCTGTTGAGAAACAAAACGAGGAAGAGTTGGGAGCAAATAAAGAAAACGTTGAAGATATGGAGGCCTTAAATGCTTATTTAGATTTTGAGGAAAAGAACGAGGAACGTCCCGTGAAAGATCTTCATGCAGAAGGAGCTGTTGTAGATTATATAAATCAAAGCAAATGCCAGACCTATGAAGAAACAGAGGCAAACAGAGATAATGATTCCAGCTGTAATATAAAATCAGCTTGCACAGCTGGGTCTCTGGCTGATAGTGATATACTAAATAAAGAAGTTGCTGGCAGTCATAAAGAAGTTTTATCTGCAGGGAAACAAAGTGTAGATAAAGAAGGCAATCCCGTTGAGTCTGCTGTAACGGCAACTACAATGAAAGGGGATACTGAAGAAGCAGGTAAAAACTGCAGGCAGCTGCGTGAAGAAATCCACAGTATTATTGTGCCAGATGTTGGGGAGGTTGTTTGTGCTGAAAAACAGAAGACTGGATTCATTGAACAAAACAAGCCTGAGAGTGAAGAAATAATTGCAGAAGAATATCATGAAGCCTTAGAGGTTGGTGTGGATGCTTGTTTTGGAGAATTGAAAATTTCTGAAAAGGGAGATGGCCATTCTAGTAAAGATAAGGAAAAGGTTTTAAAAGGCAGCTTAATCTCATCAGGTGAAGAAGTTGCACCTGAGGCTTTTGTGAAAGAAAGTGAGAGTATTCAGCAGCTGAAAGAACATACATTTGAAGAAGTCAAATTTGTGCAGAGCGATGTATCTGTTTCTGAAACAACAAAGTCACAGTGTGGACAGCTGGAAGAGGAAAGTAAATTGTTGGATGAAATCCGCTCAGTACAAATTGCTGATTATACATCAGAACAGTTGGAAAACCCAGAGAGCGATGTGGATGAAAGTCAAGAGGAAACACAAAGGAATAAGAAGGGGAAAGGTAAATCTCGGGAAGACTGCATTATATCATAAACTCAGGGATCTCGGGATCGTTGTTCCACGTCATTCACCTGGCATCTGTTAAAGAACAAAAATACAAAAAAAGGCCAAAATTTGAAAGAGGTTCTACCATTGAATTAATGTCATACTTTAAATAATGCAAAGTAGTCAATCATGTATGTAGGTGGAGGCTACCTTTTTTTGCCAAGTTTCTTGTCAAGTTTAATTACAGTCTAGCTATTCTCCCAATTCCCAATAAGATGTTTCTTAACATTCCATCAAATGCAGCATTTGTCCTCTTGAGAACTTTAATGAATGCTAGGATTGGAAAATTCTTGGGAATGAATAAGGATGCATGTTAGTTTTTGATAAAATGTCACTGGTCTGTTACATTTTTATTTGATTTCAAGTTATTATATAAAACTTTAGCTTCAATACTGTTATACTTTATGAACAAAAAGGCAAGATCAAACTGAATGAATGACAATAATGAAATTATGACAATTTTAGAGAAGTAGCAAGTTTTTGCTGTGTATGTTTCCCTCACTTCAAATTTCTGTTGCAAAGATGTAGACATAAAGCACTACTACTTAACAGTAAAAATCATGTACTAAGAATCATTCAGTCACATCCAATTCAGTCTTTTCTTACCAAATCAAGTTCTTGTTGGATTTAACTTAATATATCTGCAATTGATACATAAAGATCAAAATGCTCTTGATCCAATTTAGTATTGTAGTTTTGTCTCTCTTCCTGTTTCTTTCACTGTAATCTATGTAGGTTTATGTATGATAAAAACTTTCAGTTCGCTTTATATTTAGTCTTTGTATTAAGTAATATTTACTGCAAATTGTAATCTATTTACTTAAAAGAAACTACATTTGTTCTCTGCATTGCCTTACAAAGAAATAGATATTGAAAGTAGAATGTAAATCAATATTTTCTTATATTGAGAAATCTGTCCCTTTAATTTTTGCTAGAATATAAGTCTTGATTGTCCCTAATAATTATCTCTATTTAAATCACAAAACGAAAGATAATAGCTACTGCTGTTTTATGATAAAACTAAGTCTTTTTTTTCTAAGAGAGCCAAAAGAAATCATTTATGAACATATAAAACTTTTAAAGACATAAAACATTTATGAGCATATAAAAACTTGGAACACTTTTAATGAATAAAGTAATTTTAACATTTGCTTTGCCATGCTAAATTTAAGACTATGCAAACCCTAAAGGATTTATATAGCTATATAGCAGTGTAACAATGTATTACATAAAAATAGAAAAACATTAAAAATACAATATAGTGTCTAATGTATATAATGGAAATAAAGTTTTATATTTTAAAATGTCTCTTCTCATTTGTTTGTAAAATTGATTTAAGTAGCTCTAATTTTTTGTTCAACTGCCATTTCCGCAAAACATATACAAATTTTAAAAGACATATTTGTAGTTTTAAAGAAATTGATAATTATTGCTCATTCCGTATGCTGAGAAATGTATCTGTGAAATAAGCGTTCTACCTTTTGGGAGGGAAAAAAGATAAAGGAGGATGAGACAAGACAGGAGGAGAGAAGAAACTCTCATTGAAAAAGATTACTATTTTATCTGATACGGTTATACTGCTTAGTTGTTTCACCGAAGATATTTATACTGTACAAAGTTGTAATAATAATATGTTAGGCAGCAATTCTTGTAATTATATGGGAATAGGAGGAAGGAGTATTAGGTATATTCACTTCCTTGAATTCTTTCTAAAAACAATAAAGGTGAGATTGAATAATTCTAATCTTGTCTACCTGCCACATCATTTATAAAAAATTCTTATTTATTCCTTAGTTTCATGATATATAATTGAATGATATCATTCTTATCTCTTAAGAATGTTTGGCATATATGGTTCTAAAGGCATCGTGTGACAAATGTAAATAATAATACTGGTACACTGGTACTTTGTGACTGCTAATTTCTCATTTATAAAAATAATCTAAAAGGAAAATTAAAAATTAGGCAGCAAAGAGAGCTATAAATGCGGCATTGCCCTTACCTTAAAAGAGATTTTAAAGAAGCAATTTCTATATGTGACTTGCGAGAGACCATTAATTTTCTTTAACTTATGTGTTTGGAAGACCTTGTAATTATTTTTTATAAAATGGGTAACATTTCACATTTTGAAGTAAAATAGATCTTTTGAAATCTAGATTTATTTTTGTGCAATTTAAAAAATAGCAAATTTTTGAGACATACCTTATTTGAAAAAACTTTTAATGTGGAAAAATCTAGAACCATCATATGCAAGTGTTGGATTCCAGTTTATGAAAAACATGAGGAGTTTCTATGTTGTGTCTGAATGTATCAGTACGTAGGGCTGTGCAATGCTTTGAATTCTGGTGCCAGGAAGTGTCTTTGCAGGAGAATGAATGAATTTAGTTGTCTGTGGCATTTTAAAACAGATATATACCCTTTCCTAGACTATGTAGGGGCCTCTGCAATACTGAACAAAAAAGCCATTGTAGATAGGTGCTAGAACCATATTCCCACGTAACCTGGGGTCCCTTTCATAACATTTCAGCTGTGCAGTTTGATTATCATGTTTTAAAATTTATGTTGTAAAATGATACATATTTGAAGAATAAAAGATTTGTGAGACTTTTGTGTTCCAGTGTTTGGCCATAGAATACCCTGCATGCTCACAGTAGAAGACGTAGCGTTTTGCATGCCGCGGGGGCTTCTACTGAGGTGACAAGCATGCTTTGTGGGATTGGCATAACCTCCCTGGGTTGGAAACCCCTCCTCCCCAGCCCTGTCTGTGACATCATTCACTGTGGTACGTGCATAATTTCATTTATCCTTTGTCCCACTAACCTTCATCATTATCTTTCTTTAAAGGTGTGTAAGATATCAAGTGTTTTGTATCTTTCTCTCTCTCTCTTGTAGACTTTAGATTAAAAAGACTTCTGGATGAGCGAGAATTTTTACTTCAACAGGTAAGAGCGGAATACTTTGTAGTAGGGCTCTTTGAGTAGACTCACTGTTGGCTCATAAATTACTGCTGATCATAAACTAGATGCCATATTTTTCATGGAGTGAAAAGAGTTGCATGAAATGACTCTGCTGAATTTTTTTAAGCTACGGAAAATTTCAGGGAATATATTTCTGTCTCCTGCTAAATTGTAGTACAGGTAGTCCTCAATTTACAACAGTTCATTTAGTGACCATCCAAAGTTACAATGGCACTGAAAAAAGTGACTTATGACCGTTTTTTACAGTTATGACTGTTGCAGCCTCAGATTATGTGATCAAAATTTGGATGCTTGGCAACTGGTTTATATTTATGAATGTCCCCAGGTCATATGATCCCACCTTTTGCAACCTTCTGAGCAGCCAAGTCAGTGGGAAACCAAATTCACTTAACAACCAGGTTACTAACATCAACTGCAGTGACTTTTACTTAACTGCGACAAGAAAGGCAGCAAAATGGGGCAAAACTCACCTAACAACAGAAATTTTGGGCTCACTTGTGGTTGTAAGTCAAGGATTACCTGTATCTTAGCATGCATGAAGTATTTTATTTATTTTATAGATTAAATATAATTAATTATAAATTAAATATATCTATTAAATAAAATTATAAATTAAATATATATTTTAGTTATATTTATTTATTATTAAATTTTTATGCCACCCATCTCACCGATATAGCAACTCTGGGCGGTTTACAATGTAATGAAAAGTGTAAAAGGTAATAATAATACAAGGCAATTAAAATTCTCTAATTTGGCCTGAATATAGTGTGTAGATTTAACAACTGGAATTTGAATGCTAAAAAGGGGTTCTTTGAAAAACCAGAAGCTTTTGTGTCTTTGTTCTAGTTCTATCATGACTTTGTGCCACTCTCCACCAAACGACATACAAATTGTCCTTCTGTCTATCCATTTAAAAATTAAACAGGTATAGAAATGGCTTGTAGCACCAGCCATGATTCTTACCCTTCCCATCTTTTGCTCCACGGCTCTTAGGTATTCTTCCCCAGGAATACTTTTAGGAAGATAAGAGATTTTGGAATTACTGCAAACTTTGGTTGACGTACGTACATACGTACGTTCTAGATTTAAAAAAATAATGATTTCCAGATATTGTTCTTTATAGTACAACATACTATTGATTCATCTGTAGAGGACAAATTACAGAATATGAAACTTATCTAATGGATCAGGAGGGTTCTTTTAGAGTTTTTTAAATCCAATCTCAAGACTGCAAACATACTTAACAGCTCCCTTCTTTTTTCTCCACAACAACCCTGTGAGTAGGCTGACTGAGAGTGCATGACTGGCCCAAAGACACCCAGTTGGCATTCATGCTTACGGTAGAACTAGAACTCACAACCTCCCAGTTTCTTGCAATAGGGATAGAATCAAACAGGGTGTGTGGAAATCATCAGAATATTTAAATGATCTCATCTTACCAAAACAAACGATAGCCCCTCCAGGGCAGGTATAAGAGAACACCAATAGCAGAACAGATATGTATATGTGATAAAGGAGAAGTTTAGTATAGTTTAGTTAGTTTAGTTTATTAGTTTTGTATGCCGCCCACTCCCGGAGGACTCCGGGCGACTTACAATAAAAAGGGAGGGGGGATAAATAAGACAATACAACAGTTTAAAAATTACACCAACATCCATAATTGAAGTGGGGCTGGATGCTTCAACAGCCCCAGGCCTGCCGGAACAGCCAGGTCTTAGTAGCTTTACGGAAGGCCTGGAGGGTAGTAAGGGTCCGGATCTCTGCGGGAGATCGTTCCAGAGGGCCGGAGCTGCAACAGAGAAGGCCCTCCCCCGGGGAGTTGAAGATATCCCACATGTTTTACTGTACTGTGAATTATACAGAATTTATAGGTCAGCATATATTCTCCCCTTACTAGAGAGATTGCCAGGGAGGGCAGACAATTTTTAGGTAGGCTTTCTCCTCCAGGGCTCAAACCCGTCTACTACACATGCAGTGGCAAAAATCTGTGTTGCTACAATGTCTACAAGAAAAAAAATGGTTACAGAATTATAGCTGTCAACTTGTACCAATTTTTTTGAGACATCTCTAACAATTTTTGGAACATTATATTTACTCCCGTATTTATCAGCTTTTCACCCACGGAATCTAGGGAGTGACCCAAACAGTTTGAGAATATGTATTTTCTTAACAGGGATGTCATTATCCATTCATTATTAATGTCAGTGCTATTTTTTTTTAATATATTGTAAAAAGTGATATCTATTGCTGTCTATGACCATAATAAAATTCTGTTCTATTCTATTCTATTACTACTATCTTAATAACTGAATTTGGCATCTCCAAAATCTGCATTTTTTGAAAGGGAGGATTGGTAGCCATCATTATTCTTCAGTGTTATGTTACAAAAGTCAGTGCGTAAACTGAAAATTATCTTGCCATTTAATACGTTTACCTCTTTTATAAGTACTCCTTCATAAATCAAAACGGAGGCACCAAGCAATCTTCTGAAAGTTATAATGATTCTATTCATATACTATTCATTTCAGATAAAAAAATTAAAGGGACAACTGGAAGAAAAACAAAATAGTAAAATTGAGAAGTCACATTTGGAAGATGGAGTCCTAGAAAATGGCCCAGACATGCATGTGGTTGATCTTCAAAGTAAGATTAATCTCAAATTTAAAAATTTTAAATTTAGTAGTTATTTTTTTCTACTTACAGAATGAAATAGGCCTCTCAGTTAGTCATGCAGATATACAATAGCTGTCATTCTGAACCGCTGGAGTTAGCTGAATGCTAAGTCGAAGTTACTAGGAACACGTACTGTAACGTGTCAAATGAATGACATTTTTCTCTTGCATTGTTAAAAAAAGTTTGTTCTGACCGAGGCTTCCTGATGAGGCTTCCTAATCACACGCTTAGTCCCCCAAACCCTGTTTGATTTAACCAGCTGTGAATTATGATCATTCACAGCCATTAATAATTCAGATGTCTGCCACAGTCTTTCAGGGCGATGCTGATAAGCACCCACCTTTATCTCCCTTGGAACGCTGCCAGGGACCTAGCGGCCAGTTAGTTTTACAAGGCCACATGGAGCACAGGGTCAAATGGAGCTTCTCAGAGCTTGAGCCAACCAGAATGAACAAATTGCTTCCTGCAAAGGCTCACGCCTGTCTCCGCTTCTTTTGTGTCTTCCGGGGGTGGCCAATCGTCTCCAAGCCTTACTCCTGAGTCACTCCTTTTGCCTTAACTGTTCTTGTCTTCTGGCAGTTCTGCGCATGCGCACACTGGGAGCAGGCTCACACTTTCTTTTGCCTCGCTGATGTCAGGGGTCGGAGGCAGCACATCACGACCAGGTGGCTTTGGCCCACTCTCTGCCCCTGTACCAAGTTCATCATATTTGGCCTTTCAGAAAATAAATATGATGTATGGCTGCATACTAACAATTCAGATGCTTTAGGGGGAGGAATTTGGCTGCAACATAGGTATTAAGGCTGATAAGAGTTGGGCAGCTATAGTGAATGGTGGCAATCATTCTTATTAATTTTACTCTGAGTAATTTAGTACTTTCTGACCACCCACACTGATAGTGACAGTTATTTGAGCAAGAATCAACTTAATACACCATCTCAGAATTCCAGCTATGTCCATCAGTGAATCCCAAACATCAAGAAGTGTTATTTCTATTCCAAAACTGTCCGGCTGGTATTTTTCCTGGGAGAGTGGAGAAAGGTGATCTTGGTTCATTTCTATTCACTTTAGTTCCTTATTTTCTCCCTCAATTGAAAATCTGCTTGAAAGCACTCTCAAAATACGGCAAAGTACAGGAAACCCCTGGCTTGTGAGCGTTCCCTTAGCGAACGTTTGAAGTTAAGCAATAAGGGCCTCCTAGCGTTCGTGAACAAGGCCTGAAACCATGAATCTTGCAGCACCGTGGCAATTGTTCACCGTTACGAACAACCACAGAGGTTCTGTAACATTTGTCCTGCACATTGCCGGCCAAAATGGAGCTTCTGAGCGGTGGATCTGCCCCTCAGGAGCCTCATTTGGGCCTCCAGAGGCCTCACTGCCCTCCCCCCCCCCCGACCATCCACACCCTGAAGTACCTCATGTGCCACTTAACAAGCCTCTCAACGCTTGGGCGAAAGGAGGGAGTGATCCCATTCAAGGTACGAGATTCACTCCCACAAATCCTTGGGCTACGAATGGAATGTGCCGTCTCCGTTACATTCGTAACTGAAGGAATAGCTGCATTACTGAAATCTGAAGACGGGAGGGAGAACCATCTGCTGGTGGGTAACGTCCTTAGCTGTGTAATTAATGCTAATAGATGCTAAAGAAGTTACAGTATTTGAGAATTATTTTAATGTCAGACGTGACTTTATATTGTTATTTATTTAGGAGATGCAAACAGACAAATCAGTGACCTGAAATTTAAGCTTGGAAAATCTGAGCAAGAGATTACAGCACTGGAACAGAATGTAAGTTTACAATAGTCTTGGTAATATTCTTGAACTGCCTGGTTTGGTGAAGTTATTTGCATTTTTTATCTAAAAGTGTTAGAGGAGAAATTAGATTATTTCAGCTCATTTGCTTCAAAACCATTTTACATGAAATTAGTCAATATTGTTTAATTTTAATTGTCTAATTTTTAATTCTAAATATATTAACTAAATGTTAATAAATGATAATTTGATTCATTTGATTCTGTAGTATTTGATTAATATTCTGAAGTAATTTATGGTGAGTTGCCATATTCTGGCTTCTGGATTCAAATTCTTCTTCATAGAATGGAAGGGTTGGAAGAAACCTGTCCTAAACCAAACACTGGCCTGGTTCAGAAATCTACTATATCCCTTATAGAGAGCCATCCAGTGTTTCTGGTAGGTAACCTGAACAGAATTTACTGAGGACTGGAGTGTTTGGGAAACGTCCTAAAAGCTGAACCCCACTATTACCCCTTTCTTGAAGTAGTTTTGGACAGCTGTTGTGGAGTTCTGTAATCCTCAGGAGATGGGATAAAACTCTAGCATATTTATTTGATGTTGGCCTTCATTCATATTAAGTCCTTACAAGAACCTAAAATATTGTAATATATCAAAACTGGAAAGTTTTTTCAGTTCAATTGTAACTTTGAACTGTCACTCAAAGAACCGTTTTAATCTGTTAGGAACAATCTGGAAACCTTCAAAGGTCCTGGATCATTTTGCTCAATGAATGAATGTATAATTTTGTTGGATCGGAGTCTCTTTATCTGGTTTTAGTAGTTGTGTGGAGACAGGTCACATTTTAGGCCCAGGTTTGCATACAGATATTAAAAATTGAAAAGGATTTGTGAAGTCTCCCCCCCCACCCCGAAGTTTTCTTCCACCTTTACTCCTTGGAGGGTACGGGTGTGTGAAATTCCACAACCAATGTACGTGAATGTGTGTTGTCTTTTCCTTTTGAGCAAAAAATTCTCCAGCAAGTCTAGGATGGGACTAGGTAGATAGAAAGGAAGGGTGGATGTGGTGGTGGTCTCCCTTGGAGGGTGAGGGTTCCTTGGGAGCTCAACTTCCTTGCTCAGGATCAGACAGCAGGGCCAGGGGTGGGGGGCTCTGGAGAGTTTTGGGAGTGGGTTGGGGGGTGCATCCAGCTGCCCAGAGTCCAGATGTTTCAGCCACGGACAATAGGCAAACAAGAAAGGACAGATAGATGGGCCGCCCAAGACCATGCCTGGCCGCTTAACATTAAGGAGCTGCTCTCCACTGACTTGCTGCCCCCCCCCCCAATCGCTATTGAGCGGCCAAAGACTGCCAGCATGCAAAGCCCATCTGCTCAAGCCTTGCCCCCCCTCCCCTAGCTGACATTCACTTGAGAAGCAAAGAGGACCTGAAAGAGAGGCTGCCATCTTCCCCGGCTTCTCTTTGCCTAGGGCTGCAAATGGTGGCGGGGGACGGGGGGGGGGGAAGGGTTTCAATGCAACTCTCAGCATGTGAATCAACGCAATACAATGATTTTATGCTGTGCAATGCAATGCAATGCAATGCAATGAAATGGTTTTGTAAGCTGTCCAATATATTTTTGATATGGCACCCAGCGTGCTGATAACCACTGAGACCATTGCAGTTGGTTTATGCCATAATCTTTCAACTTCAATTTTCAGATTTTGATAGTTTTTGACCTTCTCCAATTTGTTTTCTATTCAGCTATCTTCTGGTATTACCACATCAGTTATCCGCATTTTCCTCTTTGCAACCAGAATTAAATCTAGTGGTTTTTTTAGTTGCTTCAATGCTTTTATAGGCAGCCAGTGCAAGCTTTTCATCTTCAAGAGTTTGTTTAATTTGAAGTAAACCGCTACATCCATTTCTATGGAACAGGTATAATTTATCAATATCAATAGGGGGATGTAATACATAGTAAAAATATACACTTTTTCGTTCTCACAAGATAACATTTTTAATCAATAGGAACCACAGCATTTCTCCCCTGTTAGTCCCACAAACAATTTAGTCCTATGCCATGGAAAGGTTTATAAGTGATAGCAGCACCTTGAATTGCATCCAGAAGCTTGTGAGCAGTGGTGGGATATGAGTACAAATGTCACCAATTAGAATGACACGATTCCTTCTTGGATTGGCACCCTGGTTACTTAGCGAGTTATGTTAAAGCTTAGATAGGGTAGTGGACCAACAGAACTTTTCTAGATGTATTTCTAATGTTGGGTGGGGGGTGGGGGGTGGGGGGGGACACCTGATAACCCTCAATTATGCATTCTAAAAGCCTGGACACTTGAAAGTGGGTTTTGAAATGCATAATGAATGAGGAGAGCTTTAGCGAGGTTTGAGCAGGCATTCTCAGTTTTGCATTGATCTTGGGTCAGGTGGAGATCATGCCTTAAGCCACTACCCAGGTCCTCCTTACCCCCTAAGAATTATTGTACAGTTTCCCTCTTAAGTATTTGTTTCTCACCAGTCCGGATCTATGCAGTCTCTTGTTTGGACTTTCATATAAATAGCAAACGAGATAAAATACAGCTGCTTCAAACTGGCCTCCTCCTTCTTCTTCCTCCTCCTCCTCCTCCTCCTCCTTCTTCTTCTTCTTCTTCTTCTTCTTCTTCTTCTTCTTCTTCTTTTCTTTGACAGTAAGAAAAACACCTTAAAAAACACATCAACAAAGATCTAGATTGTGAGGGCAGAAAACAGGACATGCATGAACAATGATCAGGATTTATAAAGATCCTGACTCTTAAAACTCAAATATGGCGAATTGGAATGTAGTTTGCACAAATGTAGAACTAATAGAGAATGTAATTGTGGCTGCATTTAAGGAAACCACACACAGGCTCCACAGTCCAGCTGACCCACTGCAGATGTTTCTCCCTGACCGGGCCTCCACGGACACTTAAGTAAAAAAAACCATGCCAGGCAACCCACTGCCAGCCTTTGCCCACAGCTGGCCCTCCCCGGTGCTATATTGCCACCATTATTACCCTGCCTCTTCTCCCATGCTATCTATTCACAGGTGCACTGCGACACAAATCTCCACACCGAATTCCCCACATGGGAGAATTGGCTCTACTTGTGGCGTGTCCACCGGCAGGAGTGTCAGCAGGCGGGGGAACGTCAGCGGCAGGTGGGACGGGGGCAGCACTGGGGGGGGGGCTCTCCTTGAGGATGCTTGTAGGGGGCAGAGACAGGTGGCATGGGGGTGGGTGCTTGCAGAGAGACACCTGCACAATTTGGCCTCCATGGTGGGCATTGCTGGGGGACGTCAACAGCTGTGGTGTAGGGCAGTCTCTGGATGGCTGTGGCTGGCAGTGTCCGGTTTGGAAGCCCTTCGGGGTATAAGGCCTCAAGCCTGCCAAATTTCAAACATAGCCTAACTAAAACTGCCCCTGGGATCTAGGTTACGACCTCTGACCTGGCCCCCACCTCCTCCTGCAGCAGTGCAAGGGGAAACCTATTATGAAGTGAAGAAGATTCTAGACTCTACATTGCATAGTGGGGGGGGGGGTCAATTACAATACTGAATACACTGGAAAGGGCACCTTTGTCAGAAGCGATGTGGGTAAAAAGTTGGAATGTAAATGCAGATAGTCTAGTTAAGCAGTTCCAGGACAAATACCCTGATAAGCCAAAGGGGCTACTCCCTGGGGGGAGTGGGGTGGGGGTGGGGGTTAGGTAGCTGATTAACCTCGTGTGTTACTTTCGTTTCACGACATGCTCTTCTGATTGGAGGGGGGGGGGAAACAGCCTGACAGGCTTGGAAGGCATCGGGGTATAGGGCCTCTACTATGGGAAATTGGGAGTGGGGATTGTATGGAGCTTGGGAGATATGTAGCCAAAATAACATTCTTTCTCAGAAAGTCAAGGTCACCTAGTCTCTGCACCTGGATGGATATGGATGGGAGAAATCTTCTTCTGTGGCACTGACTGATTGGACCCACGTGATGGACCTATGGGTGTTGGGCGGGGTCTTGAACTTTCAATTGGGTGGGGAAAAAACCTGGAAGCTTTCAGATTCGGGTTTTCCCAGATGTGTCAACATGGTTCTTCTAATAAATTGGTGTTTTGAGGAATCTCTTGCCTTGAATTCTTATTTTATTGAGGATGCTGTTTGGAACCCTGACAGGCAGCTGGATTGGAAGGCTGTCCCTTTCTATGGGAAGGGAACGGTTGCATACATACACACACACAAACACACACATCTTTTGTTTTAATGGCTTGCAGGCTCTGTTGACACTTGTCAATTACCAGGAAAAGTAGAAGCATTTCTTATTCTTTTTTACAAATATACAACAGAACACTCATGATTTGCCTGCCAAAATGTACCTGTAATATAGCTTTCATACAAAAAAAAATTATTTCACCCTTGCTAGTGATGAAATGCAACTAAAAAAATTCACATTGCATTTATTACCATTCTTCAGAGCTCCATTTGATCCATGTCTCTTGTCCTCTACTGCTTTTTATACAGCCACCTTCATGTTTGAATGCATGTGTATATTCATGTAAAGAGCCGAGGTGGCGCAGCGGTTAAACGCAGCACTGCAGGCTACTTCAGCTGACTGCAGTTCTGCAGGTCGGCTGTTCAAATCTCACCGGCTCAGGGTTGACTCAGCCTTCCATCCAGGTGGGTAAAATGAGGACCCGGATTGTTGGGGGCGATATGCTGACTCTGTAAACCGCTTAGAGAGGGCTGAAAGCCCTATGAAGCGGTATATAAGTCTAACTGCTATTGCTATGTATTCATGTTTGAATATATATGTATACCAGCTGAGACTGTCAACATGGGGTAACCTTTACTTGGTGTGTGTGATGATGACTCTGTATGTGTGTGTG